ATATAATTACGATAATTATCGAGTTCTAACAAAATAATTAATTATTATCTTTATAAGAAAATTATATTATTAAACCAAATATAAATTACTTCATTATTATACCTAAATTAAATTATAATAAAAAATTGAATTAAAAAATCACAAAAAATAGGAATTTTAAATAGTTAATTTGATACGAATATCGATATATTTTTGTTATGCATAAAGTACTGTATATTGATGCATATTACTTCAAATTCAAGATTACAAGTAATTATGCATAAATACAACTTATTAAAGCTCGATGTTTGAATTCGTATAAATAACTGCGGATAAACATAATCAAATAGAGGATGAACATCTTATTTTAAATTATAAAAAATATATAATATAATTACAATAATTATCGAGTTCCAACAAAATAAATAATTATTATCTTTATAAAAAAAATTACTTCGTTATTGTACATAAATTAAATTATAAAAAAATTGAATTAAAAAATTATACAAAAAATGATGAATTTTAAATAGTTAATTTGATACTAATATCGATATATTTTTGTCAATTTTTTATGATATTTTCAAACATATATTTTGTTTAAAAATAAAAAAATCATCATTTTATCAAAATCACATAAAGTCGTATTATAACATCGACTGAGATAAAGAATAAAATGAAATATTAAAATCACAATGTATCTCGTTGCATTGCGCGAGTACGCTTTTAGTAAATTATATAAACCAATCTTAGATATTTATGTAGGGGCCGTTTACCAAACACTTACCCAGTATGTGGTTACCGGTAAAATTTAACACTATTATTTACTTATCGAATAAGATATTTTTTTAGTCCACCAAAACGACATTCTATGCACCAATTTACCCAGTAAGCTCTTACTGTGGTAAGAGTCGACGCCCTCACTTACCGGCTAAGATTCTGGGTCCTTACCATATTTATCCGGTGAGATAACCGACTTGGTAAGCGCTTACCCTGATAAGTGTTTGGTAAACGGCCCCGTAGACGATTCTGATTAATTAGCTCCTAAATTTACTCTTAACTTCATCTTTAGTTGATTTTTAATAACAGTCTCTAGATTCCAAAATAAACAAAATCAAGGGTCAAATTCATGGGCGGACCTATAGTGGTGCCAATGGTGGCACATGCCGTCTTATTATTTCTCCGTCGAAGGGTAAAAAAATTAGGTTCGTGAAAGGTGCAACCATATTAATTTGTTGTGTGCCACTGTATGTACTTTGAAACTACAATGTAAACACGTTTTATTTGGTAGAGTTTGTTTGCAAGACTTTTATTCCACCCCATACAGGAGTTCGAATCATGTTAGTGTCATTTTCTTAGTCAAATGGTGTCATATTTGAATTTTTTTTCCTTACATTTGTTAACGGTGTCATTGTTAACTAGATGTATTTGGGTAGATGGATCCAATTGCATGGCTAAATGACATCCGATTAGGGTTATATAATTAAGGGGTCTAAATAAAACTTTGTGACCTCTATAACCATATGCATTATCCCGAATATATAAAACATTGAATACAAATACAGATACAAATAAAAATGATAGCAACAAACAAATCCAAACTTTTGGTTACTGGTGAACTACGATCTGTACCCATTTTCCTCACTCTAGTAACCGCGTATATATGTGTTTTTTACAAATTAAAATCATACAGATATCATGTCATGTCAACATCCATGTCCATGTTGATATCCATGTCATCTTTCCAATTCTTGCTTACAAAGAGGGCAACATGATACTATTTTGAGCCATTGATCCACACATTTCATGTGGAATGTATGTGAGCATCCCAATTGTCTCATTTCCTCCTTCTCTTTGTATTTTGCCAAACATATACAACATTCCTGTAAATACGTATTTTGTTAGCATTATGTATGTATGTACGATGACATCATGGCATAACAATATATGCATAAAGTATAATGAAACAGGATATGGGTGTGCGATAATATATGAGACTTAAGAAGATTACTTTGCGAAAGAGTTACTGAGAAAAGAATAGAGGTTCCAACATATATTGAGAATAACTAGTCGAAGTCTAGCCACGTGGGACTCAAGACTCTTAACATATCCCTAACATAAAAGCTAGACGAGTGAGGGGATATTCCTTGGAGAGTCAAGCTCCTAGAGTGATAGACCTTGACTCTGATATCATTTGATAATATGTGCAAATTTATCAGATTACTTTTCAAAAAAGCCATTGAGGACAGAGTAGAGGTTCCAACATATATCGAGGAAAACTGGTTCAAGTCTACATGACATGGGACTCTAATGCACCCCCTCTAATAAAGGCTAGACGGGTGAGGGGGCTAGCTAGATGCATACAAATTGCCCTAGAATGGTATACCTTGATTTAGATACCATTTGAGAATATGTGGAATCACATTAGATTACTCTACCAAAAAGCCATTTATGAGAGAAGAGATATTACAACATATATCAAAGAGAAATGGTCCAAGTCTAGCTGATGTAAGACTCTAACAAGATGTATTCGACTTACTGTGTTCGAGCTATCCATGATGGATTTTCCGAGCTCTAAATCGGGTTCGATTTCTTTGTATTTCCATGTAGGTAGCTTCAGGATTTGTTCTTCAGATGCACCACGATTGGTCGAGCCAGCGTTCATGTTGTACCCAAGTAAGTTACTAATAAGTGGCACAAAACAACATAGAAATAGAAACAAAATGAAAGGGAATGAGTAGGTAATCGCGTTCCAAGCCAGTAGCGAGATGCAAAGCACGTCGAGTTTAGGAGCTTTTTGAAAGGTTCCAAATCGAGAATCGAAAACCCAAACGTTCCCCATCACAAACCATATCGCAAAGAATAGTTCCATGAACGTTCGAGATTTGTTCATCATCTGCAAGTTCCTATATACAACATCAATTGTATCTTTTAGTAATTGTTAATGAAACTGTCTGTAATTTTACTGTGAACGATAATTTTTTTCTATTTACTACAATAAAAAATATTATCAATAAATGTAACAAAGTTTTAAAATTTCTATTAACTACAACAAAACTAGTTTTATAAGATGCTTAAAATGTTTAAACGTCCTAACAAAATACTTAATACGACCAAGGGGCTGTTTGGCAGTTGCCGAATGGTTTGGTGCAAAATGATTAAGTGGTCAGAATGATTAAGAGGCTCTCATGATACAGTGCAAAATGAAATATAATTGTTTGGTAATTGTTTACAATAGAATTAGGGTGGTGAATGGTCAAGAGAGGCCCAAGATACAAAATCATTCAGAGGGTTTTAAAACCATTAATTAAGAGACAAGTTTTTTTTGCCAAATAAGATTAACCTCTTAACGATTCAAAGACTGCCTCTTAATGAAACTATTAAGAGGTAACAAACAACCCTTAAGTTTATAGTATCAAACCAAAAAGTGTCATATTAAAGATGTGTTTCGACAAGTTTTTTTAATACGTTTTTAAAATAAAATGTCTTCTTAACTATTTTCTACAACACAATTTGAAAAAGTATCCTATAAACACAAACATCCTATAAAAAAGCGGGTTTATAGGACGTTCCTCCAAAGTGTCATATAAAGTAGTTAATATGACTCTTTATTTTAAAAACGTTCTAAAAATCTAAAACGCCCAAAAACATACTATAAAGTATTATATTAGAACACTTACCCGGTAAGCTCTTAACGGTAAAATTCAACTCTATTTCTTACTTATTGGGTAAGATTTTAGTCTACCAAAACGAAATCGTATGTAATAATTTACCTGGTAAGCACTAACCATGGTAAGAGTCATCGCCATCACTTACCGGGTAAGGCTCTCGGTTCGTTCCCTCGCTCTTACCAGTTAAGATTTTTGGTCCTTGCCATATTCAACCGGTAAGGGAATGTGACTTGATAAGCGTTTACCCGAGTAAGCATTTGGTAAACTGCCTCTTAGACATTTTAGGTGTCATATAAAATCAATTTTGTTGCAGTGATTTAAAGTAACAAAGTTTCGAAATTTTCTATGATGTACCGATTTTGATTGATAACATATATTGATCTGGTAACATTTGATAACATGAATGCTAAGTCAATCGTCTACCTCACCCTAATCGTCTTGTAAACGTGTACCACATTATCAAATATTACAAGATAATCCATTATCAGTCAAAAATGAGTTCACAATTGGTTGAGAAAAAAGTTCCTTGGTCACACGAAGGTGTCGTTTACTAAACGTTTACCCGGGTAAGCGATTATGAAGTCACTTTACTTTACCGGACGGATATGGCAAGAACTAAGAATCTTACTCGTTAAGAGCAAAAACAAGAATCAACAATCTTACCCGGTAAGTGAGGACAACGACTCTTAACATGATTAGTGCCTACCGAGATAAATTGTTGCATACGATGTGTTCTAGTTAATAAAATCTTACCCGATAAGTAAGCGATAATGTTGAATTTTACCCGTTACCAGTAGGTGTTTGATGCATTATGTTGGTAATTTTATATTGAATCGATCTTTCAAAAAAATGTCGGATTTTCGGAAAATTTAAAATAAAACGTATTTTTGATTACCTCGATTCTTCGATGTTACCCGAATCTTCTACTCCAACATGGGTCGAGCAAAAAACCCGATATCGCCAGAATAACAGACCCAGGTTAAGCACACACCCGACTCCATACCCGGAAACCCATGTTCTCATGGGCCAAACCGTTTTCTCCTCTTTTGAAACCGATAAAGTATAAGTTATCATCACAACTTGAAAAACCAAACCCATCAACTCCATAAACATCCAAGAACCCGTATTAAATGGGTTCGACCCGATATCCGATCTTGACCCGTTTTGGTAATGAAACACCCTTCTGGCAAAACTATACCACCTTGCCCTTGATATCCTAATTGCCATTCTTACCAAGAAAGAAGAAGGGAAGGTGGTTGGAGACCGAGTCGTGGGCCCACGGCTACGTGGACCCACATCCTCCGCCACCCGCTCTTCTCCGCCACCCGGAATCAACGAAACCGCCACCGTGGAGTTGCATAGTGATTCGGGTGTAAACAAGTATCGCGTATTCATCGGAAAGAAGATCACAACTTTGAGCTTTTGTATCAAGATAATTTCAAACTAACCAATACCCATGAAATGACTTTGCTTTCAAGAAACTTAAAGAACAAGATTTCTTGATTACTTTCATGAAGAACAAGATATTAACACTTCAAGAAACCGATATAGGCAGGTTTAGAATAGTAGAGCTTCATGAATCGAATCTTCAAGAACCCGAAACGGATACGAATTAAGCCTCAAGGAATCGGTAGAAGTTCAAGATTTTGATCATATGGGCAAGGTTTAAACATCAAGAAACCGATATGGGCATGATCACAGCTAGCTTCAAGAAACCGATGTACGTGCGTATGATCAAGACTTCAATAAACCGATATGGGTATGATCAAAACTTGAAGAAACCAATATGGGTATTGATCAAAACTTGAAAAACCGATATGGGTATGATCGAAACTTCAAGAAACCAATATATGGGTAATGATCAAAACTCCAAAAACCGATATGGGTATGATCGAAACTCAAGAAACCGATATGGGTATGATCGAAACTTCAAGAAACCGATATATGGGTAATGATCAAAACTTCAAGAAACGATATGGGTATGATCAAAACTCCAAGAAACCGATACGGGTATGATCAAAACTCAAGAAACTGACATGGGTATGATCGAAACTTCAAGAACCCGATACGGCTATGATCGAAACTTCAAGAAACCAATACGGGTATGATCGAAACTTCAAGAAACCGACATAGGGTATGAAAAAAAGCTTCAAGAAACGAACTTTTTGGCACAGAAAGAGGGAGAAATGGAGCTGAAATTAGGGTTAGAACAGATGGATGATATGATGACAATGAAAATCTGAAACAAAAAGAAAGAAATATAAGGGAAAGAAAGAGAAGAGAAGAGAGGAAGGTTGGAGATGGTGGCCAAGAAACTGCAACTGCTTTGCTTTGATTCCAAGGCAATGATATGTAGGTAAAGAAGATATATAAGGAACAAGTAGTATGATGTAGCAATGGTTGGCCTAACTTAGTTGATGTTTTGTTGTGTTTACTAAGCAAATTAAAGCTACTTCAAATGTAAACTACCAAAGCTAAGGATTTTGGATTAGAGTTGAATTAGGGTATGGTTTAAGAGTACTTTCATTCATTCATTCATTCAATAAATTGAGCTTGAATTTGTGAGGTTAGCTTTGAGTTAATCTCACTCCCTCATATTTCAATTGTGACATACCAAACCAACAAATACCAACACCATGACTTCCTTTGTTCATAATTTTAAAAGGAAACAAAATGTGTAATGCAATGAAATACATCTTGATTTTAATGTTTTGTTTTGTTTTTTTTGTCTCAGTCGATGTTATAATACGGTTTTATGTGATTTTAAGAGAAAACGATAATTTTTTTAGTTTTGAATAAGATATAAATATGAAGATATCATAAAATTTTAAAAAAATATATTGATATTAGTATAAATTAACTATTTAAATTGTTTTTGTGTAATTTATTTAATTCGGTTTTTTTATTAAAATTTGATTTAGGTTTAATAATGAAGTTATTTATGTTTGGTTTTATAATATATTTTTTTTATAAATATAATAATTAAGTGTTTTGTTATAATTCAATAATTATTCTAATTATATTTTAGATTTTTTATATTTAAAATGAGATATTTATCTTCTATTTGATTGTGTTTATCTGTAGTTAGTTACACGAATTTAAGCATGAAGCTTTAATAAGTTGTACTTATATACAATTTATTTGTAATCTTCAATTTTAAGTAATGTGCATCAATAATAGTACTTCATGTACAAAAAATGATTTTTAAAAGTTTTTGTCAAATGTTTTATAATATAGCATAGACAGTAAACGATTAATCAAAGAATGTTGGTATAAAATAATGTATTTGTTATTCAAGAATCATACAATTGAATTTGTTTTAACTATTTGAAAACTTAGAGCAGTTTACCAAACACTTACCTGAGTAAGTGGTTACTAAGTTACATTATTTTATCGGATGCATATAGCAAGGACCAAGAATCTTACCCAGTAAGAGCAAAAGCAATGACTGAAAGTCTTATTCGGTAACTGAGAGTCCTTATTTCTTACCATAGTTAGCGCTTATTGGGTAAATTGTTGCATAGAATATCATTTTTGTTGACTAATATCTACGTGATAAGTAAGTGATAATGTTGGATTCTACAGGTAAGCGCTTACCCGAATAAACGTTTGGTAAACACTCTCTTAGTTTTGTAAGAGCGGCACTCCAATGTATTTTTCAAAAATTCTTAAAAAGTTTAAAAGATTTATTGAAATAAAAAAGTTACCAATTTTTTTAAAGAATCTTTTAAAGATGTTCTAAAAATTGAAAGATTGAGCTCTAACGGTTAAAAGTGTTTGAAAATCTCAGGTTCAAATCTAAGGAGAGAAAAAATAGTCACGGAGGTTCAAACGCGATTACTCTAGGAACAATGGTGATTTGCCCCAACCGGCGGAGAATCCGGCTCACCCGATACGAACGGGGACGGGGATTCCCCGCTAAAATGGGTCCCAGGACCGGGGATCCCCGGTAGACTTAAACTAACGGATATTCTTCATGAGGTTTGACCGGATATGAGATATTAATTCTCGTACCCACCAGGGACCGGGGACGGGGATTACAAAACCGCCTCATCCCCACTCCGTTGTCATGCCTAGACTCCGGGATATCTGCAAGACAGATTGTTATCCTGAGATTAATCGACTCGAATAGCAGATTGGATATTTAGATTAATTAAAAATAAAAATAGGTTAAATCCGAGCGAAGGAATGTTGGGTAGAGTAAGGTTTAAAAATGTGGCGGGTAAAGGGTGATTGTTGAGCCAACCTAATCAAGGCATCATCTTTGGTTTATTTACCGGGTCTGCCATTCGGGTCAAATGACACGTGTTCGGGCTTTTTATTTTCAGTTGGAAAGTCAATTTTCTTGACGGGTAGAGTAGGTTGAGATTAGAACTCAAAGGTTGCTTAGATTTTGACGCCATAACAAATACTATATACATTTACTTGTGTATTTGTATAGGGGGTGGCTAATGGCACCCCTATTATGTGCTAATGCCAYCCCTAATTAGGTTTCAATCATTTGCATTTTATAAATTTTTGTGTTTTTTTGTTTTTTTGTGATGATTACTTTTTATTTTATTATTAATTAAAGAAAATTTAAATTAA